GCTAATCTTAGCTAAATGCTCTAGACTAAAAGTTCAAACAAGCTAAAGGTTCCGTTTAGCCATTACCTAATGGTTAATCTTAGCTAACTGCTCTAGACTAAAAGTTCAAACAAGCTAAAGGTTCTGTTTAGCCATTAGCTAACTGCTGAATGCTCTAGGCTATAGACTTGAGTTCTAACAAGCTAAAAGTTCTGTTTAGCTATTAGCTAGCTGCTGAATGTGGTAGGCTAAAGACTACAAGTTCTAAAGAGCTAAAAGTTCTGTTTAGCCATTAGCTAACTGCTGAATGCTCTAGGCTAAAGACTGGGTTCTAACGAGCTAAAAGTTCTGTTTAGCCATTAGCTAACTGCTGAATGCGCTAAACTAAAGGCTAAGAGTTCTAACGAGCCAAAGGTTCTGTTTGGCCATGACTAAATGCACATTTGAGCTAATGGCTGTAACTAAAGGCTCAAATGAGCATAATGTGAACACACCACCACTGTCAGTTATTTACTTGAAATTCAGAGGGTATTTGTCTGCACAAATAGCAGCAGCAGCTAGCTGTAGCACTACTGTTGCTCTCTAAAGCTCTTCATACAGAAACATATTTTTACTGGACTTAAGCATCAAGTTGACTGAGTACGGGTTTCACTTGTGTCTTTGCTCCAATCAGACTAGCCATTAGCTCATCAATCCGGTTAGAAATAATCTCTACTTCAAACTGGGGGTCATTTAAAGAACTATCTACAGCAGGTAAGATATTAGTTGTTCACAACCTTTGCTCAAAACCTCAGTAAGTTTTTGTCTTTTCTGTTGACAACTATTGGGACACCTAGAAGAAAGGAATGCTGTTTTCTTTTCAAGGTGGCTTTGTTTGTGTAAAATTATTTGGTCTCTGCTTAAGAAAACAAATCTAGTCATGATGAATTCTTCAATAAATTGTTTTACGGTATTTGTTTCATCCTCGGTCATTTGAATGTAACCTGTGCAACGGATCACTGATGATGTATGCAAACAAAAGCACTACCATGAAATAAAGGCCTACTGCACTGTTGTCCAGACACGAGACCATGAGTATTCAGAAATATTTGTATGTGTTGGTGCCAGTAAATATCCGTATTTTGACTTAACATATCAAATGACTAAACAATGTTCTGGTTGTTTTTGTTGATTGCTGCTGAATTTGTCCACCAGTAATTCTGTCATGTGGCTGAATTCATGGGTTAACGTGATTATGAGGAAAATCCCAGCTGAGACGGGTCGTCTCTCCAGAGCATCAGCCACGTTTCATCACTTCTTTCTGCTAAAAGTAATTATCTTACGTGTTGTAGATAGCACTTTGAAAATGGGGGGAAAAAGGTCAATTTTGTCCAGATTGATTAAGATAACGGCTGTTCGTGTTGCACCCCTGTAAAGTGAAAACAGACACGGTGTCACTTCCAGTGTTGTGATGGACGAGCAGAAGCGACATGTTTCCCGTTCACTCAGGCATAACCAATCAAGACACAATCGGTAAATAAACTCAAAACATAAACTTTGAAAAAATACAACTCTAAAGATATACAATCATAGTCAGAGCAGTAACGTCAAAGAAAATGCATTTAAATGTATTATTTTACTGCATTTTGTGGCTTTTAAACAGCAAGACCAGAATAATCGATCACAGATCACTAGCTCATCAATCAGTGCATCTTAAAATTTACGTCAACTGAGGAATGAATGGAATTTGTTTGTTTTCCATTTATATTTCCCACATAATAATTTAACCAGAAAATTAATTTTAGCCAAATAATACAAAGCATTATTTTTCTTTCCAACTGAAACGGTTTTGTAACCACTAGCGCGTTAGTCCCGTAAATTTTTTTTATTTTTTATTCCAAACTTGAGTTTAAAAAGATATCAAAAATTTCATTGATTCAAACACAATTTTAAACCTTTAGCAAAAACGTTTGTCAATATACCGTTTGTTACATAGAATTATATCGCAACAAGTAATAGCAGCTAGCCGTAGCACGTCTGGCAGGAATATCTTGATGCGTATTTCTACTGAAGCAACTTGAGAAATGTGACAGTGATGTAAAGTTTCGTCAAATGCCCTTCACAGAAGCACCTTAGCACGATTTAGATTACCGGTAGTCATTTTTTCGGTAGTTGTGGCTATGTTAGGACATGCTATAATTAGCTGTTAGCGCATTAGTCTAGTGAAAAATAAACTATCCAAACAGCTATTTACCACGAAGGTTTCTGTGATTCACACTCACCAAATCACTAATTAAGCAAAATATGCTTTGAGTCGTAGAATTTTATACTTATTAGCGAGCGCAGCTAGCTATAATTTTTCTGCCAGGATTACCGGTACTTGATGCCCATTTCTGTCAAAATAACTGAGTATTGTGAAAGTTACGATAAGTTTTATTAAATATCGTAAGAGCTTTAAAACAGTTTAGATTGGAGTTGTTCCGAGATAATAGCTATTCGCTAGTGAAACTCAGACTAGCTTTTAGCGCATTACTCTAGTGCAGTGGTTCCTATTCCTAACCCTGGTCCCTGAGGAACACCACCCTGCATGGTTTGGCTGTTTCTCACCTGATTCAGTGGTTTAATTACTTCCAAGTTCTGTCGAAGCCTGTTAATCATCGAATCATTCAAATCAGGGAAATAGCTGAAACATGCAGGATGGTGTTCCTCAAGGACCAGGGTTGGGAACCCCTGATTTTCCAAAAATTGTTAAACAAAAAAAGCCAACTATAATAATTTACACTACCTCTGTTTTATAATCTTGAAAATCACTGCTAATATAGCATTGTTTGGCTACTTAGAGACTTTTATGGTCATTAGCAAGTGTAAATAGCACTTCCAGCAAAAATATTTTTACATGAATAATTTAAATCACCTAAGGTTTTTAAAAGTGTTCATATGAGCTGCTATGGAGTTGTTTATTGGTTTTATGGGATGTAGATTTCAAATAAGACTCAAATGAATCATTTATTTGAGTTAATAAATTTAAATAGTCACATTCTCAACAAAACTGTCCTTGCTTTTATTGTTTTAGAGCATGAAATAAAATACCAGACAACTTGATGAACAAATAAGATTCTAGAAGAATTACAAATTATGTTTCCCGTGTTTAAAAATGTAAACAAACGTGCACAATTACTTCACATTGAGTGAAAAGATCCCTCGTGATTCCGGCAGTAGATTTAACCCTCCTACAGTCCTTCAGGTCTTAGTTTTAAAACGGGCCTCGGGGTTATTTTGACCCAAGGGCAGCAGAAGGATTAAACTGAACATAATCATTTTCTGCATTTAAACAGTTCAAGAGAATTATTTTTTCCCCATTATTCAAAGCGTACTCTTATTTAAGGCAGGAATGCTAAAGTGAACAAAAATATAATTTATTTTCCACCTTTTCACCCTTAAATTAATTCCAACAAAAACAGTTTATTTGAAATTAATTGAACGAGCTTGGATTTAATATAAAGACGCAACAAATGGCGTGTTAAACTGAAACCCTGTCCACACTACTACAGATTTTTTTTAAATATATTTGTGTTGCATTTGCACCTCTTGTCCACACAACAATCTTAAAGAGGCTTTCTAAACATATTAAAAGTTTGTTTAAGGCGTCTGTGTGGATGGAAAACAGATTTTAAGTGGTTGTAAAATGTGGACTGGTAAAACGATACAACTGAAGGAAAAAATAATCAGTTTTAATAGATAACCGGAGTAGCGCACACGGGTGTTTTTCTGTAGAGAAAAATAAAACAGTTAAGGCATTTTGGTCTCTAGGCCTCAGAACGAGCTCTCGTACAGAAATAAACCGAACAGACGTCCACCATCGAGTACCAACACCGCAACACACTGAAAGAGAACCAGCTACGACGACGCTCGGCTCTTTCTTCGTATGGATTTTCAGAAGTTTTCCCAAGTCAAAGTTCATCGTTATCGCTGCTGTCCCAGGAGCCACGGCTTGTAGCTTTCCAAGGTAGGAGTTTGCACCTCTGTCAGGATTCCTCCCCGGCTTCCTGGTTGATCACGTGTCGGTATCTGCCGCCAGCCGTCTCCTTTTGCCGACAAATAAAAAAGAGCAGGAAGGCAATGAGGAAGAAGAGCACACAGCTGGACAAGGCCAGGCCGATGATGATCTCTTTAACGCGAAGAAAGTGAGAAAAGATAAAAGGTCAAAAAAAAAGGTGACATTTTAAGGTTTGTCGTGACAGTAGTGTGAATCAGAATCCCACCTTTATCACTCCTTGGTGATGGCAGCTGACACTCTTTATCCCGGTCGTCTGAGATGGAGCTCTTTGTAATTTTCACAAATTCCTCCAGGGGGCAGTCAAGGGAACATCCTGGCAGCTGAAGCGGGTACGGCTCCATTGTGGAGTCGTTGCGGTAAAACATGGACACGGAAGCAGAGCTAAATGCACGCCAAAACAAAGGCAGATCAAAGTTTTTTTTTTTGGTTGTTTAAATGCTGAGTCAGCGTTCACGTTACCGAACTTATCATTTTCTGTACTTTTTTTAATTGCGCTGCAACTTATACTGCTTTACGCTAATTCAACATTTATCAAAACGTTCAGCTTGTTAAGTACAGGAGTGCTCGGACTTGGATTTAGTAACTTTTTGTACTTTTCAAATTATTTTACGTCAACATTTTTTTGTTAAAATACATTGAGAATTCTTCAGATCTTTCAAAACCGTTCTCTGAAACTTACATCTGCTAAAACTGCTACGGATAATGAATGCTACTAATCCTAAAGCTAATTCTGCTACTGCTAAATCCACAATAACTGATGCTAATTCCACTCATGCCAGTAGTACTATATGCTAATGCTAATACCACTCATGCCAGTACTACAATATGCTAATTTTGCTAATGCTAATTCCACTCATGCCAGTAGTACTATGTGCTAATTCTGCTAATGCTAATTCCACTCATGCCAGTACTACTATATGCTAATTCTGCTAATGCTAATTCCACTCATGCCAGTACTACTATATGCTAATTCTGCTAATGCTAATTCCACTCATGCCAGTATTACAATATGCTAATTCTGCTAATGCTAATACCACTCATGCCAGTACTACAATATGCTAATGCTAATTCCACTCATGCAGTACTACAATATGCTAATTTTGCTAATGCTAATTCCACTCATGCAGTACTACAATATGCTAATTTTGCTAATGCTAATTCCACTCATGCAGTACTACTATATGCTAATTCTGCTAATGCTAATTCCACTCATGCCAGTATT